TCTGTTTCATGCTTTAAACCGAGGGGGTCTCCAACCTTGGCCGTTTTAAGACTTGTGTAGACTTCAAATCCCAGAATTCCCCAGCCGGCTCTTTTATTTTTCCACTTTGCCGAAAAGCCAAGATCTATTACCGCTTACGGCATACCCACCATCTATTATGAAAGTTACCCTACGTGGATGGCTGGGAGAATTCTGGGAGTTGAAGTCCGTAAGTCTTAAAAGTAGCCAAAGGTTGGAGACCCCGGCAAAGGAAAGGACCAAACAAAACAAAATAAATAAATTCTAACAATAAATTATAACTTCACCACAGGATTAAAAACAACACGACAGCCCTCATTTCGTTCACAGGATCGGGTCAGGAAGGGTCAATCCTAGAACACCCGTCCCCCCCCCCCCCCGAGACCAAGCCCCCACCCCCCCACCTCAAGTTTATGTCGTCAGATCTGCTGGTTGTTGTAAAGTTCAGCAAAAAAAAAAAAAAAACAACCCACCCCGTTGCGTCTTCTGCAAGGGCACAAGCCGGAGTCCCCCTCCTCCTCTTTAGCGTAGTCACACACACACACCCAAGGCATGCACCCACAAGCGCGCGCACACACACACAAACTCCTTAAAACAGGGTTAGGTAGGCAGTGATCGCAAGAAAAATACACCCAGGTCCTAAAAAGGGGAGGGCGGGGTGGAAAAACGTAGGTCCTTCTTCTCCCTGTTTAGAGAAGAATCGAGAGTGGAATGTCACGAATCGCAACCGTGTTTCGTCAGTCGCCGTTGTTCACAACTCCAAAAACAACAGTGGTTTTTCTACAACACGGGAAGTAATGGCAGTACAGTCGCCGTGGTTCGGAGGAGGGAGGGAGGGAGGGGGAGGAGGGAGAACGCCGCGGCCGGCGGGAGGATTCGCACGCAGGACCGACCGCCGGAAAGGAATGCGTTGACTCCCCAACGCCAGGCGAGCTGCTCCGGAGACACTTAAGGGAGAAAACTGGCAGTACGAGTCGAATTAAGTTAATAAGGTTTATAGAGGGAGATCACCAGGGTGGGAGGAGGAGAGGGTGGCCAAAGACACTGAGGGCTAGCAGCATGGCCAAGAAGACTAAACGGGGGGAAGCGACGCCGAACAGGGAGAATTTCTCCCGACGAGCGAGCTGGGATCCTTAAGATTCCAGCTCTTTGTGGGAAGAAAAAGGAAGGGGGGGGGGAGGAATTGCTTTTTGGGGGGGGGGGTAGGGGCAGGGATTGGGGGGGGGGGGGGGGGCCCACCGAATTGGAGAAGTGGGGGGACCACGGAGGTGAGAATCGGGCGGGCAAGGCCTTGGTCCTTGAAGATTTGTCGCTAAAAATCAAGACACTGGAAAAAGAAACCACCACGGAGAAAAGGGGCCAATTCCGGAAACACATAGAAAGTCTAGATAGAAATCTACAAACAGACAAAATATAATATAATATATATATATTTTATGTATATATATATATGTATATATATATATGTATATATGTATATGTATAAATAACAAATTGTGCTATTTACAAGACACCCACACGCAACGCCACGCTCACACACACACACACACACACACACACGGGGAAGGCGGGGGGGGGGGGGGGGGGGATGTAAGGTGGGGGTCGGGGGTGGGGTGTGGGGGGGTAACTGGCGCTGGAAGACTCGGCCCCGTGCGCCTCTCCCGGCCGCTGCTCCTGGTTGGGAAAATGTCTCGGAGAATTTCCACTAAGTACTGAAGTAAACTGCAAAGAAAGAGAGAGAAAAAAGGATATTTTATAGGGAGTCCTCATTATATGACCGACATAATGGAGAATGCCCATTAAATGGGTTGTTTCTATGACCAGCTCGGTTTTGCAAATTTTGTCAGGATTCCAGCAGTCCCCCCCGCAATTAAGTCACGAGTCTCGAGCCAAACTTCAAAAAAGGACTTATTGGGAGTTAACATGTCCGGCACTGCCTGGGTGTAGTCGACTCTGAGACCCATCATTCATTGTCACCCTTGACCCTGGTTCCCCCCCCTCCCACCCCCCTGGATGTATCATAATTCATATCCTCCAATGGGACACATCCATAGCCCAGAGCCATCAATCATGTTCTCCCGTTGGAATTTTACATGGCAGAAAGCTCGGTCACATGACCAGAGGGAGAGTTCGTAACTTCGAATTTGGGTTGAAAAACACCCTTTTTAGGGTGGGTTGGTTGGTTTGTAACACCAAAGGGTCTCGCTTAGCGACCGGTCGTTAAGTCGAGGACTACCTCTAACTGTGCCAGTAGTTTACACAACCCGGTACAACTGCTCAGCCAGTGTGCTAAAGCCGTACTTTGCTTGCTACACAACTGGCCTCGTAAAATTTGCTACATATCGAGCCACCTCAAAGCAGTCCTCGATGTACGTCCATTCGTTTAATGTCCATTGGAAGATACAACAGCACTGGGGGGGAAAAGGGGGAGGAATTTCCTCTGGTCCTCACACTTATGACAATGTCACGAGATCACCCTTTGCCATTCTGACCAGCAAAATCAAGAGCCGGAAGCTTTTTTTAAAAAGCCACATTGAAACTTGGAACGGTCACTTAATGAGCAGTCGTAAGTCGAGGACTGCCTGTAAAAAGCTAATCCTTACTAAAGAATTACTAATCCATACTGTGGACCATCGTAACTACCTTAAGAATAGCAAAAACGGAGAGGAAGGACACGAAACAGTTTGCAGGAAGTGGAGTCCACCTATTGGCACCCAAACTCCAGATGTGACTCACTCCACAGCAGGGGTGTCAAACTCAAGCCCCGCCCCACCCACCCCCGGACCCCGTTTTTGCCATCCTATGAAAACAAAATGAGAAATATTTCCCCTTTTGCACTTGAGCACGCAAGAAGGGACGGGAAAGGAGAAAGAGGAAGGAAAAAGAAGTAAAGAGCGGAAGGGAGAAGAAGGGCAAGGAAGATGGAAGGAAAAAGAAGGAAAGGAAAGAACGGTTTGAGGAGGGAGGGCGGGATTGAGGAAGGAAGGAAGAAAGGTTGGGAAGGAAGGAAGGAAGGAAGGAAGGAAGGAAGGAAGGAAGGAAGGAAGGAAGGAAGGAAGGTTGGAAGGGGAGGAAGGAAGGAAGGAAGGAAGGTTGGAAGGGGAGGAAGGAAGGAAGGAAGGAAGGAAGGAAGGAAGGAAGGGAAGGAAAGGAAGGAAGGAAGGAAGGAAGGGAAGGAAAGGGAAGGAAGGAAGGGAAGGAAGGAAGGTTATAATGAGGTAGGGAGAGACTTAGGGAAGCCCTGCCTTAGCACTTGGCCACCACAGTTGCCCGAATCTCACCCCCCCATGGCCATGACCACCATGCCCCCCCTCCGCCCCTCCGAGGTCAAACACAACTCTTGATGCGTCCCTCCTTGAAACTGAGTTCGACCCCACACACACACCGCTCTAAAGCCACTGAAGGCGCTTTCCCGTCCCTCTTTACGTCCCATCGCCTCCGTTCTTTGCCAGGGTCACTCACCAATGATGATGATCAAGATAATGGCGCATATCACCCCCAGAATTATCATCATCTGTCACGGGAAAAGAAGGAAAGAAGGCGCGTGTGAATGGTTGAAATCGGCCTTGTCTCCAACAGGGCATCTCCTGGATTCGCCCGTCTGACACCATGGGAGATCCGTGTCCCATCTAAAGCAAAACCTTTCCAGATCCTCTGTGATCTGTTGTTCCTTTCGATCCTAAAGAAGCGTTGATTCAACTCCCAGAATTCCCCAGCCAGCGTCGTGGGAAATTCGGCATGGATAGGACAAGAAAAACCATCACATTGTTTTGACCGGGTAACTTTCTTAATAGACGGTGGGAATGCGGCAGACGTAATATATCTTTTATTTCATCGAAAGGGGAAAGAAAAAATAATAACCCACAAGAAGATTAAATTAATAAACGAGTTAAAAGGTGGGCTGGATAGCAAGACAACCAAACAGGAAACGGATAGGCTGGCTGGGGAATTCTGGGAGTTGAAGTCCACCCACCTTCAAGTTGCTCCAATAGAGAACTACTGCTACAGAAGCCAGAAGGCTGGCATTACATACATCCGGAAGACTACAAAGACCTGGTGGCTGGGCCTGCTTTCAAGAGGGATCTTCATCAAGTTCACCCTCCTCCCAAAACGCAGATGATCTCCAGGAGGCCTGATGGATCACCTTAGCAACCAAGGGATCTTGTCGCTAAGAGATCCAGATCATCTCCGGATGCAGAGAGATACAGATAATCACAGAGATCAGAGAGGGAGGTTAGCATTCCTGCCAAGAGCCAGTGTCTCACTGTTCTTTTGGACCCAACCAGATCCTGGGATCTCTTCCCCACCTTCCAAACCTTCTCTATGACATGTTCCCTCTGAATGCCTCAAGAGGTTTTTTTTTACAGAATTTTAAAAGAATAGAGTGAGGATTTATTTATTTTTGTCTGATCCATCGTCACGAGAAACCTGACAGGGAGAACAATTAACCGGTGAGACTGCTTGCCACTAGAAGTTGTGGGTGCTCCATTCCTGGAGGTTTTAAAGAAGAGAATGGACAGCCAATTGTCTGAAATGGTCTAGGATCTCCTGGTTGAGCAGGGGGTTGGGCTAGAAGACCTCCAAGGTCCCTTCCAGATCTCTAATTCTGTTGTTCCCTAGAGCAGGGGTTGGCAACCTGCTGCTCTGGAACTGCATGTGGCTCTTTCATCCCTCTGCTGCAGCTCCCTGTCATGAAATGTAAAAGGATGCCGCGCTAGGAGGAGACTCTATGGTGGGAGAACCGGACTTCCAGCGCTAGGAGGAGACTCTATGGTGGGAGAACCGGACTTCCAGCGCTAGGAGGAGACTCTATGGTGGGAGAACTGGACTTCCAGCGCTAGGAGGAGACTCTATGATGGGAGAACCGGACTTCCAACGCTAGGAGGAGACTCTATGGTGGGAAAACCGGACTTCCAGCGCTAGGAGACTCTATGGTGGGAGAACCAGAATTCCAGCGCTAGGAGACTCTATGGTGGGAGAACTGGACTTCCAGCGCTAGGAGGAGACTCTATGGTGGGGGGAACCGGACCCAGTGCTAGG